ATTAGCAGGATTAAATTTTTTTTAAAAAAGCAAATACAGATCACATATCTTAACACCCCCACACATAGCAGGTGATAAATACAGATAGCAGCTGCTCTTACTTCTGGAGAACTAAAGTACTTTCCTTGAGGTCACATAGCAGGTCAGTGGCAGAGTCCAGCCCAGAATCCAGGTCTTTTGACCCAGAATCTCTTAAACTTTTACTGTACCAGTCTGGCTGCTAAGAACAAGGCATGAATCTTTTGTGCAGGCAGTGAATTTTCTCACACTTTATATAAACTCTTCATTCCTTTAGTCTTTGTTCTGTATCTAAAGAATTAAGTGTGAATAGTATTTCTTAAGGGAATGCCAACATTTTTAAGTTCTTTCAAAAATTTTTTTTCTTCTTTTCAGAGTCCGAATGTCATTCAGAATTTGAAAATACTACCCATTCTGTCTTCAGGTCAGCCAAGTTTTACATTCATCATCCAGTGCACCTACCCAGTGATCAAGATTTTGGCCATGAATCTTTGGGAAGGAGTGTTTTCATGAGGCATTCTTGGAAAGATTTCTTTCAGCATCATCCGGGAAAACATGGAGAAGACGCTTGTCTTCTTCCCTCTTATCAAAATGTGGACAAGACTAAAACAGATTATGCCAGAATAAAAAGCCTCAGCATCAATGTGAACTTGGGAAACAAAGAAGTAATGCATACTCCTAAAAGTCAGGGTGGAGATCATCCACAATGTAACAGACAAATTAGTGATCCAAAAAGGGATCCTAAGGTCATTCCAGAGCTAACAACTCCGCACACCGTGAGTTTAAATGAACTCTGGAACAAGTATCAGGAGCGACAGAGGCAACAGAAACCACCTGAGTTCGGTGACAGGAAAGAACTATCCTTGGTGGAGCGACTTGATCGTTTGGCTAAACTTCTTCAGAATCCCATCACACATTCTCTCCAGGCCTCTGAAAGTACACATGATGGTAGCAGAGGGGAACGAGGTGCTAAGGAGTGGAGTAGTAGACAACAGCAGAGAAACAAGCTTCTGAAAAAGAAGCGGTATGAAAGCCTGGAGAAAAGCCGTAAAAACACTGGAGATCTTAAAAAAAGTAAGGTGCTTTCCACTCATCAAGCTGGAAGATCCAATCAGATTAAAATTGAACAGATTAAATTTGATAAGTACATTCTGAGGAAACAGCCAAGTTTTAATTATATAAGCAACACTTCATCAGATTCTAGACCCTCAGAGGAGAGTGAGCTGCTCACAGATACTCCTACCAACATCCTTTCCACCACTTCTGTGGAATCAGATATATTAACCCAAACAGATGGAGAGGTAGCTTTGCACGAAAGGAGTAGCTCTATTTCTACCATTGACACTGCCCGATTGATCCAAGCTTTTGGTCATGACCGAGTATGTTTGTCACCCAGGAGAATTAAATTATATAGCAGCGTCACCAATCAACAGCGGAGATACCTTGAGAAGCAGACCAAACACAGCAGGAAAGCATTGAATACAGGCCATCCCCTAATGACTTCTGAGCACACCAGAAGGAGACACATCCAGGTACATGGCTACAAATTGCATCTGGCAATGTGACTGCCTTTTTCATGGACTTATTAGTTAACCTTTGCACACAGGTGAAAAAAAAAGCCATTTGCCCTTTCCTCACTATAACATTCCTTATCAACTGGAAAAGAGTGAGAAAGTGTAGTACAGTGCTATTGTGAGTTGTCATTCTTTTCATCAACACTCATTTACAAATTACCTCTTGAACGAAGGGCTTTGCTGCTAGATGCTTCAGAATCTGCAAAGTATAACCCTGATGTGGGGGAGCTTCGAGTTTAGAATGACCTCTATTCTGAACAATATTGCCTGGTTTTTGTTTATTTGGGTTCTTTTATTTTTTATTCATTCTTCCCTGTCTTTCAAGAAATATATTTGAGGTGCTTTTAAACACACACACACATAAATAATGGAAAATGATTTTTTAAAAAATCATTGAATTGGGATGATAGAAAAACTGAACCTGGAGGGAGCTACAACATGATTTTTAAAAAATAAATAAATGAAGAATTGTAAGTGATGGAAAGACAAGTTGAAGGCAGAAGGGACGTAAATATACCTGTGGATGTGGTCGCTAGAAATGAGCTACAAATTGGCCTTATGTTTTCTAGCACTTAGTGTTGCTAGAATTTCATGATCAATTACATCAGTCTATAATATAAAAGCAAGCCATATTTTCTAAAACATTACAGATATTTCTGGTACAAAGACCTAAGGGAAATTTCTCTCATCTGTCTTCATAGAGAAGGCACCACAATGTAACAGAGTCCTACAACATCCTTATGATAAATTCCGTAACACCCATAAGGCCATTATCACATTCCTTAGTTTAGGGGATTAGTAAGGCAGATCTCAAGGGGTCAACAAATGCAGACCATTGCTTTAACCCAAGAGTAAAATTTAGACTATCTAGAGAAGTGCTCTCCAAAGAAGGATGCTTTCAAAATGGTTCATTGGAGTATGGAAAGAAAAATATTAGAATTTATATTTATTTTTTCAACCTTTTAAAATTTTTATTTTTGTGTGTATGAGTACAGTAGTGGCATAATTTATAAATAAATATCTATTTTGGTAATTTGTGCTTAAAAATATTTTTTCAGTAGTGTTACATGGTCAAAAATATTGGAGACCACTGGTCTAGAGAGAAGGAAGCACGAGATGTTCAGTTTATCATAAATATTATTTCTCATAATTGAATTTTTGGTAGATATTAAATGACAGTGATTACATATGTAAATAATATAATATGATTTCTTTTGAGTAAATGAAGAATTGGGAATGACACAGAGTAAAGCCTTTGTTCCACAGGGGAGAGAAGGAAAGGAGACAGGTAGAAAGGTTTGTGTGTATTTGGTAAAATACACGTAACATAACATTTGCAGTTTTGACCATTTGGAATTCAATGGCAATTCAATGGCATTGAATACATTCAGTTTTACATCTGTCACCATTGTTTAATTCCAGAAATTTTTCATCACCTCAGTGGAAACCCATATCCATTAAGTAATGACTCTATTCCCCCTTCCCACTATCCCCGGCAACCCATAATCTCCTCTCTGTCTCTGTGGATTTTTCTATTCTGGTTATTTCATATAAATGGAACCATACAATATATGACCTTGGTATCCGGCTTCTCTCACTTTTACATAATGTTTTCAAGGTTCATCCATGTCATAGCATGTATCAGTACCTTTTTTTTTTTTGAGACAGAGTCTCATGCTTTTGCCTGGGCTAGAGTGCCGTGGCATTAGCTTAGCCCACAGCAACCTCAAACTCCTGGGCTCAAGCAATCCTCCTGCCTCAGCCTCCCGAGTAGCTGGGACTACAGGCATGAGCCACCATGCCTGGCTAATTTTTTTTTTCCTATATATTTTTAGTTGTCCGATTAATTTCTTTCTAATTTTAGTAGAGACGGGGTCTTGCTCTTGCTCAGGCTGGTCTCGAATTCCTGAGCTCAAACAATCGACCCGCCTCGGCTTCCCAGAGTGCTAGGACTACAGGCGTGAGCCACCGCGCCGGCCATGTATCAGTACTTTATTGCTTTTTATGATTGAATAATATCCCATTGCATGTATATACTATACTTTGTCTATCCATTCATCCATTGATGAACAGTCGAGTTTCCACTTTTTTGCTATTGTGAATAGAACTGATAATAGAATGGTTGTATACAGGTTTTTGTTTGAACACCTGTGTGCAGTTTTGGGGAGTATATACCTAAGAGTGGAAATGCAGGGTCATGTGGGAATTCTATGTTTAACTTACTAAGGAACTGCTAAACTGTTCTACAATAGCTGCATCATTTTTCATTCTCATCTGCAATGTATAAAGGTTCCTGCAAACCTCCTCCATTTTTCTTCCACATACTTTTTTCCACAGTGGCTGCATTATTTTACATTCCCACCAGCAGTGCACAAGAGTTTGAATTTTATCACATTCTTGCCAATAATTATTTTTCTATTTTTTTTAATATATATATTAGCCATCCTATTGGGTATGAGGTGGCATCTTATTGTAGTTTTGATTTGTATTTCCTAATGATTATTCATGTTGAGCATCTTTTTACATACTTATTTAGCCATTTGTATGTCTTTGGAGAAATGTCTTTTCAAGTCCTTTACCTTTTAAAATCTGGCTGTTTAGTTTTTTGTTATTGAGTTGTAGGAGTTTTCTATATATTCTGGATATAAACCCCTTATTAGATGTATGATCTACAAATACTTTCTGCTATTCTATAGGTTGCCTCTTTCACAATAACCCTGTTGACTGTGTCCTTTGATACACAGAAGTTTTTAATTCTGATGTAGTCCAATTTATCTATTTTTTGTTCCCTATGCTTTTGGTGTCATATCTGAGAAATCATTACCAAATCCAACGTCATGAAGGTTTTGTCCTGTTTTCTTCTAAGAGTTTTATAATTTTAACTTTTACATTTAGTTGTTTGATCCATTTTGAGTTAATTTTTGTATATGGTGTAAGGGTCCACCTTCATTCTTTTGTATGTGGATATTCAGTTTTCACTGCACCATTTATTGAAAAGACTGTCTTTTCCCCATTGAATGCTCTTGGCACTCTTGTCAAAAATCATTTGGCCATATATATGAGGATTTACACTTGGGCCCTCTATTCTATTCTCTTGGTCTATATGTCTATCTGTATGTCAGTACCACACTGTTTTGATTTACTGTATCATTGTAATAAGTTTTGAAAGCAGGCAATGTGAGAACTGCGACTTTGTTCTTTTTTCAAAATTGTTTTGGATATTTGGGGTCCCTTGAGATTTCTTATGAAGTTTAGTAAATATTTTATTCTTTTTGATGCTATTATATATATAATTCTTAATTTCATATTTTTATTTTTCACTGCTAGTGTGTAGGTACATAAATAATTTTTGCACGTTGATCTTATATCCTTCAACTTTGCTGAATTTATTAACTCTAACAATTTTCTTGTGGATTCTTTAAGATTTTCTAGTAAGATCATGTCATATAAGTTCATGTCATCTGCAAACAGAGATAGTCTTAATTCCTGCTTTCCAATTTGGATGCCTTTTATTTATTTTTCTTTCCTAATTGCTCTAGTGAGAACTTCCAAGGTAGAATGTTGAATAAAAGTGGCAAAAATGGGCATCCTTGTTCATGACTTTAGGAGAAAAGCTTTCAGTCTTTCACCATAGAGAATGATGTTAGCTGTGGATTTTTCATATATGACCTTTATTATATTGAGGAAGTCCCCTTCTTTTCCTATTTTGATGAATGTTTTTTATTATGAAAGGGTTTTGGTTTTTACCAAATGCTTTAGTATCTACTGAAATGATCATCTGGGGTTTTTTCCCTTCTATTAATATAGTATACATTTATTGGTAATCATATATTGAACCATCCTTGTATTCCTGTAATAAATTACACTTGATCGTGATATCTAATTCTATTCATATGCTGGTGGATTCAGTTTATTAGAATTTTGAAGAGAACTTTTTCATCTGTATTCACAAGGGATATGGGTCTGTAGTTTTCTTATAATGTTGATATGTTTGTTTGCCTTTGTTACCAGGGTAATATGGACCTCATGGAATGAGTTAGAAAGTTTTTCCTCCTTTTTTGCTTTTTGATGATGAGTTTGGGAAGGATTGATGTTAATGGTTGATACCAATTTTTTAAATGTTTGATAGAATTGACCAATGAAGCCATCTGGTCATGTGTTTTTCTTTGGGGGAATTTTTTTATTGCCCATTCAATCTCTTATAAGTCTATTCAGCTTTTCTATTTCTTCTTGAGTTTTTATAGTTTGTATTTCTAGGAATTTGTCTATCTTTTTTTGTTTTTCTAGTCTCCATTTCATTTTTCTCCACTGAGTCTTCATTATTATTATTATTATTTTGCTTGCTTTGGGTTTATTTGGTCTTCTTTTTCTAATTTCTTATGGTTTAAAGTTAGGTTATTGCTTTGAGATTATTCTTTTTTAAGGTAGGTATTAATAGCTATAAATTTATGTCTCAGCACTGCTTATGAAGATATAATTTTTAATCTCAGCTCTGCCTTTACAGCATCCTGTAAGTTTTGGTATGTTTTCTTTTCCTGTTCATTCAAAGTATTTGGTAATTTTCCTTGTGATTTCTTTTTTGACTGTTGGGTGTTTAAGTAGTTTAGTTTCTACCTATTTGTGAATTCCTCAAATTTCCTTCTGTTATTGAGTTCTGATTTCATTCCATTGTGATCAGAGAATGTACTTTATTTCAATCCTTTTAAACTTATTGTGCCTTCTTTTATGGCCTATCATATGGTCTCTCTTGGAGGATTTTTATGTGCACTTAAAAAGAGCATGTATTCAGCTGTTGCTGGTTGGAGTGTTCTGTATTATGTGTTAGGTCTAGTTGGTTTATAGTGTTGTTCAAGTCCTTTATTTCCTTATTAGTCTTTTGTCTAGTTTTTCTATCCATATTGAAAGTGAAGTATTTGATATCTCCATCTATTACTGTGAAACTATCTATTTCTCCATTC